CCAGAAGCCAGAAGCCTTGGCTGTGGATCTGTCTCCTCTTTCAGATTGCAGCCCCTGAGGCCTGGCACAATCTCTGTGGTCTGGGACACCCAACTCCCAGCACTGCGCTGGCTCAGAGCAGAGGCGAGCATCTGAGCCTAGGACACATCTCAGCCAGAAGCCTTGGCTGTGGATCTGTCTCCTCTTTCAGATTGCAGCCCCTGAGGCCTGGCACAATCTCTGTGGTCTGGGACACCCAACTCCCAGCACTGCGCTGGCTCAGAGCAGAGGCGAGGAGTTGGCATCTGAGCCTCCTGAAGGGGCCTGGATGTGGCCCAGCAGGGCCACAGCATGTGGCGTTCTACTCCCCACCGTGGGTGTCACTCAAGTGCTGGCCCAGACCTCAAGGGCCACGCAGTGACAAAGAGGGCTGTGCTTTTCTGGGGCTCTCAAGTGTCCAGAGCTTTAGGAAATGGACTTAGGAATTAAACCAGCTGGGCTGGGATCTTGGCTCTGGCCTTCAGGGGACCTCAGGAACTCACACCTTCCTGTGCTCTCTCTGGCTGCCTCCTCCAGGGCTGTCTCAGGGGCCCCCAAGACCTCACTGTGACCCCCACACATACCTCCCAGAGTAGCTAGAGCTGCCGTGCATGGCTCTGCACCCTTTCCAGAGGTCTCTCCTGGCTCACAGGGTGCTGACCATTCCACTAGGTGTCTAAAGACTCAGGCCACCTGCTGTGTCCCCACCCAGTGGAGCATGGGAACTGAGGGGTGGTCAGGTGCCCCTGAAAATGCCCAATTCAGCCTGGGCGAGTCCCTCTCAATTCTTCCTCGGCCGCTGCACCTCCCCCTCCCCAGATCACAGTCTGGCTGAAGGATGCCTGAGGACAGCCCTTCCTGCCTGCCTCCCTCTCATGCCCCCCAGGCTTCTGTGCTGCTGGAGGCTGGCTTGTGTTAAGGGGGCGGTGGTCTCAAAGTCTTTGTCACGGGTTCCTGGGTGAGGCCATCCATTGCCCGGGAAATGGGTGGGCTATGGATGGAGCATCTGTCCTGAGTCCGTGTCCATGAGGGCTGGGGGTGGGTGAGTGGGGTCTCCCCAGGAGGGTGGTGGCACTGCCTTGGTGCCACTCGACTCAGCCTGCAGCACAAGGCCCCTTCCCAAGACAGGTGGCTCTGTTCTCGCTGCCCTGACTCCCTGGAGCCCCAGGTCCTTGGTTTCCTGTTTGTGAAATGGGAGCACCACAGGACTGCTGCCGTTGTTTGACCCTTCTCCAACAGGTCTGGGAGCAGGACGACATCTGGAGTGACCTCTGGATTCTTTCTTTGAACTTTTCGGGTCCTCTATAAACCAGGGTTCCCAGGCACAAGAGTTTGGGAAACACACCTGCGGCCTGCTCCAGGGACTCCCAAAGTGCTGGCCATGCAGGAGCAGGTCTATGAAAGCTGTCAGGCTCTGTTTCATCCTGTTTTCCCAGACTCACATAACCATAGGCCCCTGTTTCTGTGAGGCAGCAAGTGTCAGTGACTTAAACACAGCTTTGCAAATGATTCTCTAGCACAGGGATTAGCAAGCAACAGCACACATGCCAAATCTGCACTGTCACCTATTTTTGTAAATAAAGTTTTATTGGAACTCAGCCAGCTCAATCATTGACATTGTTTATGACGCTTTCTGGCTACAAAGACAAAGTGCTTTTGTTTTTTTGTTTTTTTGAGGCGCTGGGATTGGAGCTCAGGGTAATCGTTCTGCCACTGATCAACATCCTTGAGAAGTTGTGATAGAGACCACAAAGCAGAAAACACTATCATCTGCCCCCCTAAGAAAAACATGTATCGAACTTTGCTGAGGCTGAGGACCAAGGAAACCATTCTGAAGAAAAGCAGCCTGGCAGGGAGAACAGGATGTGAGCAGCTTTTGCAGGTAGGAGAAAGCCTGATAATGAAAAGTAGCTTGTCTTATGTTCTACCCAGGTCTAAGGGGTCCGCCCTTTGGTACTGGCCGGGGGGGCCGGATGGAGGTCATGCCAGTGCGATCCCCGCCACACCCACTAGGGCGCTCCATGGTCTGCATTGGTGACAAGGACTGGAGCCTGGATTGTTCCCAGAAAGGTGGGGCTGGTGAGAGCCAGGCCCTTTAAGGGAGGTTGGGGTTTCTCCTCCAAGGTCCTGAATCTTGAAATAAATAATTAGCCCGGAGCACTTTTTTTGGTACTGGGGATGGAACTCAGGACCTTGCGCTTGCAAACCAGGTGGCGGAACCACTGAGCTAAATCCCCGGCTCCGGGAGCACTTTCGAGCCACCAGCGTGGCACACCAGGTTCCACACACCAGATGCTTCTCAGGAGCTCCCAGGATACCCCATGCCAACTGAGGTCACTGATCCCACAGCCAAGAGTCCTGGGGCTCAGGGAAAGGACAGTGCGGCCCACAGGTCCTTCCCACTGACTGTGACCTGTTCTGCTGGATCCTCAGCAGCCCGGACTCTCCACTCCCGGGGCCGCTGCCAGAGCCAGACAGCAGCGTCAGCAGGTGACAATCCCGCATCCTCCACCCCGTGCTAGTGGGCCCCTTCCCTGCCACGGACCTCTCTGAACCGTGGGTTTACGCCCCTTCCCAAGGACCCTCGCCCCTGACTCTCCAGTGCTGCTCCACTGGCTGCACTGCCTGTGGCCAGGGCTCTGCTGACGTGGCCCTGTCTGCACCTCAAGGGTCTTGAGCCATTGGGGCCACTGTGGCAGCACATTCCACGCCATGGTACACGGACCACAGCTGCTTTTGCTCATAGTCCTGGACTGGGAAGCCTGAGATCACTGCACTGGCAGATTCAGGGTCTGACGAGAACCCACTTCTGGGTTCATAGACAGCTGTGTCTTTGCTGTGTCTTTATACAGTGGAGGGGGCACAGAGAGGTCTCTTAGGCCTCTTTCAGAAGGATACTAATCCCAATATGAGCTTTCTTTTCTTTTCTGAGACAGGGTCTCTCACTATGTAGTTGAGACTGACCTGGAACTCACTATGTATCTCAGGCTGGTCTTGAACTCACAGAAATCCTCCTGCCTCAGCCTCCTGAGTGCTGGGATTACAGGTGTGTGCCACCAAGCCGGGCTTTATTTTCATGCTATAAACATCTCCCCAATGTCCCACCTCCAAACATCATCACCTTGAGGAGTTAGGGTTCCAATCCATGAGTTATGGGGGATATAAGCATTTAGCCCTCTACTCCAAAGCACTCAATATCCCCCTACACCACCATCCCGGGCCTCCCTGCAATCAGGCCCAGCTTCTCACTCCATTACTTTGATCTCTCAGCAGGTGAAATATCCAGGGAGGCAGGAACTGGAAGGGCTCTTAGCAATTACCGAGTATTAGAGCAGCAAATAAGTTGTAAGCATGCCTCCTTTTCCCTGCCTATACCAGTGCCAGACATTACCAATCCATCACTGCACTGTTTCCCTCAGGACTGGAATTCAGACTCCCCTTTGATGAATGTTATTGAAAGTGCTATAGTCTACAAGATATGGCTTTGCTGGGGTGGAAACTGAGGTATTGGGAGGAGAGGTGACTGGCCCAAAGTCACATACCCACTGATACCAGAGCCAGGCTTAGACCTCTTTCCCTCCTCTTGGCCCAGGGACTGATACAGCACAAGCCACCTGCCAACTCTGCATCCTGCCTCCAACAAGCTGGAGGAACTTAGCTCTACAGAAGCCGTGTTTCTGGGAGAAGGCTGGGCCCAGCTTCCTACATGGGTGTTTGGTGAGTGTGAGGGTCTGCTCAGAGACGGGAGGTGGGGTAGAGGAAGGAGTGGAGGTGGAGCCAGGCTCCTAAGTGTGGCTCTAGCAGGCACGAATGTGAGACTTGGCAAAGGATCACCCTGAAGCTGTCAGCTGACATCCGGCCAGGGACACTGATTGTGGCCAAGGACAGGGCTGAACGAGCAACATGAGTTCATTATGGGCTTCTCGCTGTTACTCGGGGTGGCTGTGTCAGCCCATCTTGCAGCTGAGGCCAAGAGGCAGAGGGAGGAGCAGCTCTCGCTGGGGCAGAGTTGAGAAACAGGCACGGAGCAGCAGCCCAGAGCTCAGTGCTACAGAACTGGCAGTGACCACGGGTGTGCTCCTCCTCCTGGGAAGCCCTGGGCAGGAGTGGGGGAGACCCAGCCTCCGAGAGGCCGAGACTGGGGGGTCCAGGGCCTGGAACAGGAACCAGAGACTGGACACCAAGCTGGCAGGAACCGGGGAGCTGGACTTGGTCCCTGTCAGCCCCTGGCCTCCCTCGGCTTCCCCTGACTGTCTAGTGACCTTCTCTGTGCTGGGAGGACAGAGGGAGATTCAGAGCTGGCCCAGGAGACCGGCTGGTGTCGCGTGGCATTGAGAGGGAGCGGAACAAGCTGCCCTCCCTCTCCGGAAAATGACCCTGCTGATCCTGGAGTTAAAAATAGAGGCGTATTGATCGGGGACCATGCCTAGCACCAGTTATCAGAGCTTTATTGGCAAAAGGACCAAACTGAGTCAGCCCCTCAGGTAATTTATTTTTCTACTGTGCTACCCCAGGAGCATCCCCTACATCCCAGGACGGGCGCGTGTCCCCAGCAGCACGGCTTGATGGCCGGGCGCTTGACCCGGGCGCTACCCCATCTCCTCTGCAGAAATGTTGCCAGAAGGCTGGTTTTGCAGGGTTACAAGCCCAGCTCACTGTGCCTTCTCTCGTCTCTCCCTGGATGGCCCTGTGGCTGCCTCTGGGTGGACACCTGCAGGACCCCAAGCCCTCTCTGTCCCGAGGGTGGGCAGATGCAGCTTCCACTGGGGTGGGCTCTCAGGCCCGAGGGGACAGTCAGGGATCCCACACCAGTTGCTCTTGTGTGGCAGATTCGGGGACCATGTGATGTCACATCTGGCTACAAGTTCCCTCCCCAAGGAATCCCCTTCAGCTCACCTCTTCCCAGCATCTCACTCAGCAGGGATGCAGGGTCTCCACCTAGCAGCAAATGGGCTTATCCTATCCTCACAAAACACACATCTACCTGGCACCCCGGCATGTGACAATACCCGGAAATAGGCCCTCACGGAAGTAGTGTCAAGGCGAGGCATGGTGCGTCGGGGTGGGCCTAGGTCTTTAAAAGAGGACAGGAGATGCAGAGACACAGAAGGTCTTGTGAAGCCAGAGCAGAGGCTGGAGGGACACAGCTGAGAGGCCAGGGATGACAGAGATCACCAGGAGCCATCAGGGCGGGGACAGCTCCCTGGGAACCTCTGGAAGGAACAGGCCCAGCTTGCACCTTGATCTTAGACTTCCGGCCTGGCCTAAGGATTGTGAGACAAATGCCTGCTGCTTAAAGCCACCCAGTCTGCAGTCATTTGTTATGGCAGCCAGAGATGAGATCAAAGTCCCTTTGGCAAAAGTAGCACTTGGCTGAGTCAGGACAACACCCTGAACCCTGGAGCCCGGGACAACCCCCAGGCTTGGAGTCAGAGCCTGCAGCTGCCAACCAGTTCACTTTCCAAGGCCTCAGTTTCCTGGGCCCTCCCCTGGGAGCGAGAATGCGACCTCTGGAGAGCCGCTGGGAGCGCTCTGTAGTTGCCACGGTGTGCCCGGCTGCAGGGCACCGGCAGTGGGGGGGCAGAGTCCTTCCTGGAAGGGGCCTGGGGCACCTGCTTTCCTCCCTCTTCAGCATTCCCCTGGCCCTTTGTGCCACCCATAGGGCCTACCTGGGGCAAAGATTTGAGGGGACCTGGCCCCAGAGGCACAAACAGGGCTTAAGACAAAGAGCTGGCTTGGCAGCAGGTGTGGGTGGGGAGGGTGCCTGGGGAGCCCAGCCCACTGCCCATTCTGGATTCTCTATTCTCAGCAAGAGCTGTGCTGGGGAGGGAGACATCTGACAGTGTGAGAGCGGGCAGGGGGTTCTTATCACCCTGGGCCCTCGGCCAGCCCCAGAGGACTTGTGTTTATATCTCTCACTGCCCTTCTGCCTTTAGCAACCTTCCTTCTGATTATGGTCTGGACGTCTTCCCCCAAAGCCATGTGCTGAAATTCTCACCCTCTTGGTGACTGCAGTAGCAGGGGTTCTTAGGGAGGTGACTTTGTCCTGGGGTCAGAGCCCTCCCAAATAATGATTCATGTCCTTACACTGATTAGTGTTCTGCACTATGGCCGGCTCTGAGAGGGACCTTCCGCCTGGAGACAAACCCCACGCATCCTCACAACACAGAATGACACACCTGGCTCGCTGTTGAAACTAAGGTTCAAAGGTTAAGGAGCCCCCGACATTCCCAGCCAGTTCACGGGGAGCCGGGGGCCGGGCCTCTTTCTCTGACTCTCAGCCTCTTTCCACCAGGACCACGTGGGTGATCCCTCCCCAGGAGAGAAGAGGTGATGCCCCTCAAGTCTGCCTGGGAAGTGGGGCTGGATGGGGCCTTAGCCTTGGCGAGCCAGTGGGCAGGGTCAGAGCCTAAGCTGGAATGGCCAGGCAGCAAAGCGCCGACTTCCTTTAATCAGAAACCAAGCAGAACCGCTTCTAGGACCCTGGTTGAAGTCACAAGCAGCCAAACTCCCACCCCTGCTGGTGACGGATGACACCTGGGCGAGGTCTTGGTGCAGGCAGACTGGCAACAGGTTGCCCCTGGCCTCCCTAAACTGTGTTCCCAATCTCCTCCCTCCTAGCACCTAAGCTCAAAGCTCTTCCACTCTCCATAGGGCTCTCATTCATACTATGGTGTAAATGGTTATTAAATATGTAAGAGTGGTCTTTGAAGACACAGGTCAAATGCAGACACTGGGGAAAAGAAGCTTTCCAGTATGGACTTCAGGATCAGGTCAGAGGAAGGAGACATCCATTCCTCAGGGCAATGACGGCAAACCTTTTAGAGCTTTCATTGACACAGACCGCCCGCTGGAGCACACAGACCATAGGTTCGCCATCACTGCCTTAGGGTTTCACACGGTGCCCAGCAGGGGATCCCTGACCTCCCACCCAAGGTCTAACTGGGATCAAGAAAGTTGGCCTTGTGGCCCCACAGGACCTGATTATGATGGCAAAGCTTGTATTTATTTGATATAGTGTCTCTAACGTGGCCAGGAGACGGGCACGAGATTTTAGAACCTCTTCTACTAAGAGGCATCAAGCAGGGCAGTGGGCTGGGCTGGAGAACTCACTTCCTGAGCACTTCTGACCGAGAGCTTCTGGCCACCCTGGCTCTGCTGTCCACGCAGCTCTCTGGGATCACAGACTCAGCACCAGTAACAAATGAAAGGAACGAAGATTAGGAATGAAGACACTTTCATTGAAAGGGGTGGCAGGGGCTGAGCTCCAGGGCCACGTCTGCAGTTGGCTGTGTGACCCTGTAACGGCTGCTTCACAGTGATGATGATGCTGACACTGGTGATCATACGTGGCGGTGGTAGTCATGGCGATGGTGCTGGCGGTGATGGTGATGGCAATAGTGATGATAAACACTTACTGATCACCTGTTAGTGCCAGGCAATATTGTACAAACTCACTATGTATTAACTCCTTGATCCTTGCAACACCCCTCTTAGGCTAGTAATAGGATTGCCCTCGTTTTACTGAGTGGAGACAGCACTGACAGCTCACTGCAAACTGGAGGGAAGTCCGATGGGTGCAGGGCCGGCTGGCGTGGCCTCTGCCTGCTATGCAGATGGTCACATGTCACCGAAGCTGGAGACAGGCGGTCCCACCTGCCCGTGTCCCCATAGCCACCACTTCTCTTGGGGTTGTGGTGGTGGCTGTCCTGTCCCTGGAAGGCACAGGTTCTCCTGACCTTGAGGTTTGGCCTTCAGCTCTCTAGCAGGAGCACGGTTCCCCCACTGGTATGGCCAACTCCCATTCTGTCAGGCCCCTTGGCTGTCTGCATGCAGGTACCCAACAGTTGTATGCCCAGTACCTGGTCTGTCTCACAACTTGGTCCCAGCTGGGACATGCAGAGAACCCCAGGGGTCCCCTATTTTCGTGGATCTGCCTCCCCGGCTGCTTGTCCCTCCTACCTGCAGGTCAGGCCCTCGTAATGTCTGTGTGGACCCAGGGTGCCCAGCGCTTGCCTGATGCCCTACTGAGTAGGTGAGGGGCTCCGAGTACCAACTGCAGAAGTGGTACGCACGCTGGCCCCACTGGCCTCTCCTCCCAGAACAGAGCCCACGGGACACAGGAAGGTGCATCTGGGTATCTTACTCCCTTCCTGCTAGGGTGAAGGACCGAGGCTGAGAGACCTGATAAGGGTGCCACAGCCCGAGAGGACCCCGTGGATGGCACAGAGGTAAAGTGAGACCGAGACTGGGTGCCACTCAGTTCTGAGCCTGAGGTTGCCCTGGAGCTGTGGCTGCCTCACAGCCATCAGTGGCTTTGGCTGGGTCCTCCCTGCTTGCCAGTGACCGGGGGAGAGAGGAAGTAGGACAGGCTGAAGAGAAGTTTGGCCCAGGCTGGGCTGGGGTCTCTTTGATATTCTGTGCAGTGCCTGGAGCTCGGTGGGTGGGTGCTTAACAAATGTTTATTGTGAGTAATAAAACCAACCTTATTTACACTAGGTCTGTCTCCAAAGACCACTTTACATACTTAAAAATAACCTTAATCATCTCTCCCGACACCCTCCAGAGATGGGGTTAACTCTGCTGCTTGTGAATGGATGGAAGGGCCCAGGGAGGGGCAGTGAGGGCCAGGGTACCCCAGAGCCCAGCCTGGGTCTCCCCATATCTCACATCTTTGGCTTCTAGGGGTACAGGACACAGGACAACTTCCACCTTTCTTCCTAGACTGAAGGAATGGTGCCCTCAAATCCAGAAGCTGAGGCTCATACCCCCAGTGTGACAACATTAAAGAGCATCCAGACTCCTTTCTCTGCGGAGCTCAGGCCCCTGGGTCCCCAGTGGCAGGGCATGGCTATGCGGGGGTCTCAGGCGGGTGGGCCACAGAGTGTCCTGGAGAGGTGTGGTCCTGGGCTCCGCCAGCCCCTTCCAGGTGTGCAGAAGACCCAGCCCCCTGACCCTGACCCCTTGTGTCGCTTCCAGGTGCCTGGGAGCCAGGCTGTGGTGGGCTCAGAGGCCAGAACGTCCTCTGCATATCCCCCACGTGCGGCCCTGCGGATGGACATAGGCCTGAACCTTTCTCCTCTTTGGGGTTCTGGGCAGAAGGAGGAAGAATACAAGGGGTCCTCTGGGGGGGGCACATCCAGGTGGCACTGGGGACCCCGAGGGGACAGCAGAGGCTCAGAAACCTCTGTTGCCCCAGCCGTCGCCCAGTCCTGTCCCTTTCTGCAGGTGTTTCCCTCGCACGGCGCTCCTATGTCCCCTGTCCCTCTTCTCTCTCCGTCCTCCCACTTGATCTCCTTTCCCTCTTTCTTCCTCTCTTCCTTCTCTCTCTCTCCCTCCCTTTGTGTTTTTCCCACACCCCTGTCTCTGTCCCACTGCCCCCTGCTTCCTGTCACCCCTCCCGTTCTCCTGGCCACTGCCTCAGTCCCTGTCACCTTCCTGTTGTTAGTCTCTTGCTCTTTCTGTGTCCCACAGACCTCCAGGACCCTGCTCTCCCTCCTGTCCCCACGCCCCTCTCTCCACAGGCACAGGGATGGCCAGAGAGCTTCCTGGACAGTGGCTGCCTCGGGCTCAAAAGCTTTCCTGTGCCTGGAATTTGCTCCGTTTCATTTCGGGTGCACGAGGCTGTCCCGGGAAGCACAGGGAGGAGATGCTTTCTGAGGTCAGCAGGGAGTGTATTTGATTTTTTGATTCTGGATATGGAACCCAGGGCCTTGTGCACACTAATCACACGCTGCACCGCTGAGCTGCGCCCCCTGCTGCCGAAGCAGGAAGCAGAGTTTCCGAACAAACGGGTTCCTGGGCACTTGCCAGTGAAGATGGGGGCCCACGCTAATTAATCTTCAATCTTCAGAGCTCTCTGTAAGCTGAGTGCTCTGATCCCGAGGCGGTGCCCTCCTGCAGCCCCTTACAAATCCTGTCAGCAGCTGTAATGCCCACAGCCAGCCTGCCTCCCCCGGGAAGGCAGGAGGTGGGAGGCAGAGGATTAGAGGGGAGGGAGATTAAGCGGGAGGGAGAGTCTGCCTGGGAAGCTGGCCCTGCACAGGGAGTGACAAAGCCAGCCCTCCCACAGCACCTGGCTTCTCTCCCTCCTGAGAGTCAGCCCTGCCAAGGGTCCATCTGGCGGGATGACATTTTTCTAGCCAGGACTCAACTTTGAATTCTAAAACCTTACAACTGGAAGAGACCCTGAAGATCTGTCCCACCAGCCAGCACCTGTATCAAGTGTCCTGCCGTGCCGACCCCACCCCAGCCCTGAACACTGCCCGTGCTGATGTCGGAACACCACCCTGGGACTCCTGGGCACTACCCTTTGTACATACGCGTCTCTGGACCACTACCTGTGGGACAGCGCTTTCACCTGGTCTGTTCTCAGTGCCGTACAGAGTAGGCACAGGATAAATGCTTGCTGAATGATGAAGGAATGGATGAGCCCCCAGTTTACACAGCTGCATAGCATTTGGCAAGTTCCTGATGCACTCTGGACTCAGTTTCCCAGTGGGGCAGAGGCTGTTTGGTCCCAGAGTCAGGTCTCTCCTCATGGATTCAGACCAGTGGCCTTTGATACGCAGACTGCACAGCCTTGTCAGGCTGCAGGCACCTTCATTTCCCACAGCAGAACAAAGGCCCCGTGGCAGACCCTGGTGTACTTGTCACTACCCCAGTGGGAGGAGGAGTCCAGGACAGCCAGGATGGGGGCTGCTGGGCTGAGAGGGCACCGCTCTGGTGCCTGGGTGGGGAGTGGCAGCCAGGCAATGGCTGGGGACATTCTGACTTGGGGCTGTGATCATAATGGGGTAGGGCACGCTCTCTAGAAGGCAGAGAGGGGATGCCCGGCAGTGGGCGAGGGGCCTGGCGTGGGTGAGAGGCAGCTGTGGGAGGCTCCAGCCCCACCTCACTGCCAGCTGGAGGGATTGCCTCAGCCTCCCGAGCTACCTTGTGTGACAACTCAGGCATCTCCAAAAAAGAGGAGACAGGGCACGTGGCTAGCACGGTGGGGCAGCTGACAAAAGGCACAGGGGTGGCGGGCGGGCAGGGTCAGAGCCATCCTGCCAGTCAGGGTGATCGCCAGGAGTCTCCGCCCAGGCAGACAGCAAACTGAGTTATGCCCGAGCAGCGCAGGGAGTGCTGAATTAAACAGCTTAGTCCTCTCCATATTCAAACCCTGGCAAAACACCATAAAATATGCCGAGTAACAGTTGTCCGACGCCATCCTCGCTGTAATTTTTTTCCGTGGTTGTTAGAGTAGCAGATTTTAGTGGGGCCGGAAGTTCTGGGCTTGGGTGTGGGGCCCCAGGCCTGCCTCTTCCTGCCTCTGCCTACAACTCCCAATCCTCCTCTTGGCCACCACCCGTGGGAGAGTCTGGATGCAGACTGTGTGCTCTCTCCAGAGATGCTGCCACACAGGGTACCCTCCCCTGCCCAGAAGCTCCTCGACACCCCCAGCATCCAGGTCCCCCTCAGCTCCAGCACCTATGTGACCCCCACATCTGCCCTGGTTAGGCGCTGAGGCTCTGGCTCTCCAGGGCTGCAGGGCAGCCCTGAATCGCCTCCATCCCCGCCTGGCCCTGCTCCCCGCTGGCTCTTGTACTCTCCTCCCCAGACTGCCCACCCGGCACTGTCAGCTCACAGTGCCTTCTCTCAGGGAACCGACTGGCCAACCGGACGGGGTCGCCCTAGGAAGTGTTACAGGGGAGCTAATGGGGAGTCTGGTGACATTGGGTCTTATGCCAGCCCAGTGCCAGTGGCTTGCACATCAGCCCCGGGATCGCAAGCGTGACCTTCTGTCACCCCTGCCGATCCTGCCCTGGTCCAACCTGCCCTGCGGTCTGTCCCTGGGTATCTGAAGGCTCTCGGGGCTGGTTTCAGAGTGTGGACGTACTCATGGCTCAGTGGCCATGGGTCCTCGGGGTCGGTGGGACACAGTCATCTTATCTATGGCTCATTTCACAGAGGAGGGGACAGCCCAGAGGGGACAGGGGTATCTCCTACCCCACAGCACCAGGGGAAGCCGAGTGGGGGACCTGCAGGCTCTGCTTGGCTCCCGGCCCTGAGCTCCACAGTGGGGTGAGCCTGGGACCTGTCCGGGGGTGAGGGTGGGGTGCAGGACCCCGAGCAGGCATCCTGGACCCTGTCCCCTTATTTTCCCTTTGAAAGAGGGGAGAGCAAGAGCAGGAGAAGAATGACCTGTTTAGATCTGGTTCTGACCCGGGCCTCTGGCTCCGGAGACCCGCAGATGTTTGGAGGAAGGTGCATTCGTTTTTACAAAGAATCCCGCAAATGACAGAAAAATCACATTTTCCTAAGAAGCACAGAGCCAACCTCTCATCCAGGAACCTATACGCATTTGGGAAGCTGTCTGGAAATTTGACTTGTGATTTCTTCTTGAATTCTCTTCCAGACAGAAAGAACCTGAGGCCGGTCCCTCCAGACCTAACCCGAACCCTGGCCCCAGGCACGCCTCACTCTGACCCGTGTCTTTCACAGGCCCCTCTGCAGAGCTCAAAGCTTCATCCCATGGAAGAAATATGAAGCCAGCAGCCGGGCCCCTTGCTTCCCTCTGCTCCCTGATCCTTTAATCGGAGATGATTAAAACTTCATTCCATTCTTATTGGGAAACCATCCATCACCCTCACCAAGGAGCCCTGGCCGCGAGACAGCAGGAGGGCGGCTGGCAGAGAGGGGAGGCCGTGGGCCTGGAAGACCAGGGAGTACAGACCCCTGCCAGCCTCCTGGCCCCTGGGCAGAGCCAGGGTTGCCGGGCTGTGTGCTCTCGACGAGGACAAGGTCCCTGGTGAGGGACAGGAGGCAGAGGCAGTGTCCCGTGTACCAGGCAGGTGCTGAGGGGGAGCCTGGAGGCTGCTCCTGGGACCCCTGTGGGTGGGGCAGTGTGCCCACCAGTGGTGCCCCTCCTGAGCACCCATGGGCGCAGGGGACTTGGTCCTTCTCCCTGGGTGGCTCCACGCTCCCTTCTCTTCCCAGATGCCCACCCAGGCCCCAGCCCCAGACTCGCCCTGGCCTCAGGGAACCGCAGCCAGTCGGGGCCCTTTTAGGTGGCCTCACAGAAACATGACAGCAGTTTGGAGCTTGCAGGATTATGGGTCCTTTTCTTAATTAAAAAAAATCCAATTAAATTAAGATATCAGAACTAAATAACGCTTGAGTCATTAGTGTGACTTTTATCTTAATGACTACAGCTGCCGAAATCCTTTAATTTTGTGGCCTCCTGCCACAGCGGCGGGTGAGCGGGTTCCCCTGGGTGGCGGCTGGCCCTGCGCCCCACTCCATGGAGGGTGGGAGGTGTTGGTCCCCAGCCTGCTGACCCCTGTTGCAGGTGAGTGGGAGTGACAAGGGCCTTCCCTGGAGCCCAGGAGCGGTGCCCACACCCTGCCGCCCTCATGTGGGACGTGGCCTGCCGGCTGCCCCCTCCCTCTTCCCCCCAATCTCCTGTCAGGTTCAAAGGGAAGACTGCTCCGGGATTGAATCCAGTCCCCCCAGGAGCAGGGCCTGGCATAGCGCAGTCCCCTGGGCCCCAGGGAGAGCTGAGCTCTGGGAATAAGAGGCTGTGGAGTCCGGTGCCAGGGGGAGTGGGGTCACAGGAGCACAGCTGGGGAGGCGGCAAGCTGTAACCCTTTGCACAGGAACCCACGGAAAGACAGAGCACACCAGCCATTCTGGCTTCCTCCTCTCGGAGCCCACAGAAGAAGACGCCGTGGCCCCTCAGGCAGGGACCCTGTGCAGTCCGCAGTTCGCTCCCCGGTCCAGGCCACACTCTGGCACCCAGTGGGTGCTCAGTGCACACTTAGCTGACTGACGGGGGCCAGAGGAGGAACCCAGCTCCACTGTCTCTCTGCCAGTGTACACTGCTTCACCGATAATTTCTAAAAGCACCGAAAATTAGTTTTCATTTGCTTTTCTATGAAACCTAGACAGAAAAAAGCTGAAGGACATCCTGGGTCCTGGACGGTCACAGCCAGGTGACAGCCCGAAGAGTACACAGCCAAGTCCTCACCGCCCCTCTGAGGACCCGGCGGCTTGGGGAGCAGACAGCTGCCCAGCCACTCCGCAGGGCTCTGCACCCCGTGCTGGTCCTGTTTGCACACCACAGGATGCGGCCGGGCCAGGCGAGGCCCATGCGAGGGCCGGGGATCTAGCTCAGTGGTGCCACCACCTGCCTCGCAAGTGCAAGGACCCGAGTTTGATCCCTGGTACCAAAACAAAACAAAACAAAAAAACCAATAAATGAAGACCAGCTCATATGGGTCAGGGGGGGCCCTCAATCTGAGTCCGAGTCCTCACAACGGAAAGCAGACTTGGACAAGACCCAGGCACACCCCAGGTGATGAGAGGCAGAGCCATCCATCATGGGTCCACAAGCCGAGTTCCTCCCCTCTTCTCAGCCTGCCAGTGCTGTTCTGATATCAGAAACAGAATGTGGGTGCTCTGGAGGTGGGCCCGGGGCATGGCCAAGTCATCTTGGGGGCTGGGCCTTTATGGTCCCCCCAAAAGATCACCGTGTGGGGGAGGGCAGTGAGGGACTCACACAGAGCCTGTCCCAGATCTTCTAGAAACTGCAGCCTAACTTAAACCTTGGCCCTGGCCTCTTTTCTCTTTTCCTTCTTTTTTTGTTTTTGTTTTTGTTTTTGTTTTTGTTTATTTCTTTCTCTCTCCCTCATCTTACCTTCCCTCCCCTTGTCTCTTTCTTTTCTTCTTTGGCGGAACTAGGGATTGACCCCAGGACCTTTGCACTGAGCTATATCTGGCTCTGACCTCCAAGTCACGAAACCTTCCAAGGCCCCACTTCTTCATTCCAAGGATGCAGATAAACCAGGCTACCAGGGCTGCCACCAAAGTGAAACCCTTTTACAGGTATTTGAGGAGCAGCCCCTGTGAGTGTGGCTTTTGGTGACTACCAGGAGCAGGAACACACTGGGCCCTCAGGTCTGAGGTTCAAGCTGAGGTTCTCAGGGGACCCAGGCCCTGGCTCTGTCCACCTGGAGACTGAGGGGAAACAGCCCACTGGTATAGTCTGGGGTCCCAGGAAGAAAGAAAGATGAGAGGGCCGGGGCAGGTGAGGCTGGGAGGAGAAGTGAGGGTCACCTGCTTTGGGCTCCAAGGGGCTGTGGTTCCTGCTGTCCTCCAGGGTCTCACCCAAATGCACCCCAAGATAAGCATCAACACTTTAAAAATGGAAACAAATTCTCCCTTGCTTTTTGTGGAGCTGTCAATAGAAGCTGCCAGTTTCCCCAGCTTCTAAATGAGGGAGGGCTCTCTGGTCCCACAGATAGATTTCCAAGGCTGCAGGCCAGCCCAGCCCAGAACAGCCCCCTACAGCCCCCTGGCCAGAGAGCACAGGGGCTGCCGGTACGGGGCATCCCTGCTTCACAGTTTACGAGAGGCGTCTGCATGCACACATCTTTACCCCGTGTGGACAGAGGCGGATTACACCAAGCCCCTTCTCACCTCTACTAGCAGATTGCTGGGGAAAAGGCAGCACTCAGGCCAGCCCACCGCCTTCCCGCTTGGGTTGCCGCTGGGCTGGTTTCTGCTCTGAAGAGTCTGGCTTCTGCCTCTGGGGAACACAGCAAGCCACTCACATTTTCGCCAACAGCTGGCAGCTGAGGGGCCAGGTCAAGAAGGAGCAGATTCAGCAGGAGCTTGTGCTATGATGTATTAGTAATGTCTGCCCTGGGAGGAGGATGGGAAGACTGTGGCTGGTGGGTTTGCTGTCCCTCAGCTTATGACAAGTGGTTTAGAACAAGGATGGGGAAAAGCAATGTTGCCTTCTAGAACTTTCCTGACAGGACCCATGTGAAGGACTGTTCTGCTGTTCCACCCACCCCTCCCTCCTCCTTCTGTCACCCACTCCCCCAGAGTCACTGCTTCGTGTGGGCAGGTGAGAGGCGCTCTCATCTGGACTGTCACCTCCAGGCTCAGCTTCGACCCTGTGAAGGTCACCCCTGAGCACACAGTCAGGGGCTGTGGCTGGACTCCCCACTTTTCTCTGCACCCTACCAGGAAGCTGGCCAGCCTGTTCAAGATCTGGTGCCTTGGCCTCAGGACAGGAAGTGGGGAACCAGGGCTCACCTGCTTTCGGTTACACAGCCCCCTCTGACATACCTGGGCAGTGACCGAGGGCTCAGGGTCGCTGCCAGCAAGGCCAGGCAGGGCTGCTCCTGGAATCCCTCAGTTCCCTCCCATGGGCTATCTCAGTGTGCCCAGCAGACATGGTCACAACCAGGGTCGGGCCACGATGGCAGGCCCTGAAACACTGCTTCTGTCCCTGTGGCCGTCACCCCTGCTCTGTCAAAACAGGCTGGTACCCTTGGGGTCAGATCAGGGCTCAGATCCCAGCTCCATCGTCTCCTGGCTGTGTGAC